CCCCCCCACAAAAAAAAAAAAAAAAAAAAAAATCCGCTGGGATCTGCCTGCACCGGGACCTCCTTCGCTCCGGCTCGGAGGTGGATGCATTTTTCATGAGCGCTGGGTGAACAGGTGCAAAGTGCGGCGGGGCGGCCCGGCCCCGTACCCCGGCCCGCTTCGGGGCGGCGTGTGCGTGTCCGTGTGTCTGCCCGTGTCTGTGTGCGTGTCCGTGTGTGTGTGTGTGCGCCCCGGCGTGTGCATGTGTGCGTGTGTGTATTAGAAGATTATGGAGAGCAGCGACCGGGACATGTACCGCCAGTTTCAGGACTGGTGTCTCAGGACTTACGGGGACTCAGGAAAAACCAAGACGGTGACCCGTAAAAAATACGACCGGATCGTCCAGCTCCTGAACGGCTCCGAGTCGAGCTCCACGGATAATGCCAAATTCAAATTCTGGGTCAAATCTAAAGGCTTCCAGCTCGGCAACTCGGACGAGGTCAGTGGTGGTGCTGGAGGAGGGAAGCAAGTGCTGTACGTGCCAGTCAAAACCACGGTTAGTAGAGAATTGTCTTCCTTGTTCTATGTCGGCCGCTGCAGCCCGCTCCGGGAGCGAGAGGCGCAGGGGGAGCCGCAGCCACAGTTGGCTCCTTCCTCCCTCTTCCCCCAAGTCATCATCACCATGTTGCGTTTGCCTGTCACATTATACACCGCCGAGGTCTTTGTGGGTCCTTTTATTTAAAGCGATCGTGCGCACAACGCACTCCGCCGGGTCGGTGTCGTTCTCCTCCTCGTCCTCCTCGTCCTCCTCGTCCCTCCCGTCCCCCCCCGGGCCGCTGCGGCGGGCTTGGGGTGTGCTATTGTCCCGCCGCCGCCGCCGCTCCGGCCATTGTGCCGGGCCCCGCCGCCCCGGGCAGCGGCCCCCGCCGCCGGCGGGGCTGATGGATGGCGCACGGGGTACCCTGCCTGGCACAAAGCCAGGCGCGGCGCCGGGCGGTGGTTCCCCGGGATCTCTGTTGGGGTTTATTTATTTATTTATTTATTAGTATTATTTTTATCCTTTTTTTCTTTATTGTTTATCCCGCAGCCCTGGCGCCGCCGCCGAGCGGCCACGAATGTGCCCGGCTTGGCTGTGAAGCGCCGGCTGCGCTAGTAAGGGGCGGCGGGAGAGAGAGGATGCTCAACAAAGGGAGGATGGGGTTCCGCATGACCGAGGGAAGGGTGTATTTTGTGACACTTTCTGGGGTCGCAGGAGCCCCTCAGCACTCCGTTCGATGCGCTAGGGTAGCGTGGCATCCCCGGCAGGCGCTGGCGTTACGGGCTCGGCGCAGGTCTGACAGCGGGAGAGCTATTATGCTTGGTGGTGGCAGGAGCGACAGATTTTCCTATTTAAGAAGATGGGGACTGTTGGTTGCAAGTAGGTTTTGCCTATTGAACTCTCTTAATGTATCATTATTCTTACTTCTTATGCGCTGGGTCACGCAAGCTAAGCTTCTTTTGTCTGTGCGTGGGGCGGGTGTGGAGGGGGAGCCGAGAAAGGAAACCCGGCAATTAAAAATATTCCTGCCTGGGCATTTGGCTTGGATGAGCAATATTCCTTTTTTTTTTTTTTTTTTGCCTGGAGTGGCAGCTTATCCGGACCTGACGGGAAGGTTGCTGGGTGGCGCAGCAAAGGGGGCTTCTTGGAAAGTATTCTGGGTTGGGTTGTGACGTAGGCTGCCGGGGAAATCTGCCTCTCTTCTCCTTGCTGAAGTCATAAACCTGGGCATTCCCAGGGGCTGGCTTGTATTTGCCCCCTTGTCATCAGTGCCGTCATGGCTGTGAGGAGGCAGAAGTGGGAAATTAATTTTAAGGAGATCTTGAATATGAAGATTTAAAGTAAAAGAGAAGCTCTGGACAGTTTTTTCTTTCTCTGTGGTTTCTATTCACTGAAGTGTTTCAGGTCTGTCTATAGATCAGATGATTTGGCAGATCTCTGTTTTAGTGTTACAAGATTGATTGCTCATCTCTGAGCCCAGACAGTACCATAGATACAATTTATTACAAAAATGTTGCCTAAAGCAGAAGTCTCCAATTAGCTTAGTATTTTTAAATATCTCTTCTGCTCACTGAAATAATTATTTTGAAGGGCCAGTGGGCAGGATTGTTTATTCCCAAGACTGTTTTTTTCACTATGAATTCAAAACCGTAAGCAAATTCAGTATGTTTAAAAATGACATTGACTGCCCTACTAAATAAAGAGGATAACCTTAATTTTACACAATGGAATTTAAAAATTAAGTGCTTCTCTGGTCCTCTGAAACACAAGACTCAGTGATGATAAGCTTGTTTATTTTCTCTCACCTTTGCTAGGCCATGAAAGCCTGGAGTCCCACCTTCCATCCTATTTTCTATTTTAAGAACACAGAATCAATTTTTATTTTTATTTTTTCCCACAAGGGATTTCAGTGAGAGGTCGACTGTCTTGCAGGTCTTACCTTATGTACATTTGTGGGAATCACACCCTTAGCTGTGAATGTCTCTGTATGTCCCTATACAAGTATTTATATTTATACAGGAGTAACTCTCTTCATATAGTTTAGCAACCAAGGAGGAATTCTAATAAAATTGGGACTACTAATGAAATCAAAAAAGGAGAAGTTAGCATGACCTATCTGTAAGCAATTCCTGAATATCTGTATATAACCTGAGCAATGACATATAAACCTTTTCAGAATACATACGTAAAATTTCCTCCTGCTGGCCATCAGAAATTTGTTGTCCAACATAAATGGGAAAAGGGGATGCTCAACAACATTCAGCTCTGAAAAACAAATGCCAGCCCCTCCTGAACCCATGAATCTGGTGTCACTATCCCACCACAAAAGGCAGAGGAGTATTTAAGCAGACCCACAGGGTGGCAGTGGTTTGTATGAGCTACTGCCAGGGCTGGGGCAGTGCCTGGCAGGCACTGAAGGCTCAGAAAGAACATGTCTGACAGAACAGGGATGCAGCCCCTGGCACAGAGAAAGTCAGTGGCAAAGCTCCTATCGACTTCAAGAGGTCTAGAATTTCACCCAGATGGGAATGACAAGTTACAGGGAGAAAAAATTGGATTTTCATCAGACAGTAATTGTTGGTAAGCCTTAAAAGCCCATTCTCTCATTTATTTAACTCATAATTATTATTTAAGAGTTTTTAAATTTGTGATAATTTTTGTTTTTTCCTCCCCTCTCTCATGGTTATCCCATACATTTGGGCCTGTCCAATCCTCAGGGACAGGCCCAAAAGGTAGCAGAGCCCCAAACTGTGAATCTGTCCATCCTCTCCCTCTTTTTGTCCATCACTTGATCTCACCATAGGTAAAATTAATTTCAATTTAAAATTAATCACTGCATGAGCACTCCCTGTTCAATATCAGGATGGATGAAATTACAAGCTGGACTCTACAGTTACAAGCTGGTCAAAAATAAGCAAATATTCAAATACTTTGTTAGGAATTACTCTCTCCTTGAAGCTTTAAGATTTGCTGCTCAGCTTTGCTGTCAGCCAGAGAGATTTGCTCCTGATGGTGCTGTAATCCACTGCTGCTGGTAATTAGACATCATTACTGCTGCGTTAAAGGGAAAGAGAGAAGGAGAGAGGACAGGCTGGGGCTAATTAACTACTTGATTCTAATGAAAGAAAGAGAGCCTGATAGCAACTGGGAGGTTGCACCGGAACAGGCTAGATGTACAACACAGACTTAATTGAAGCAGGGTGTCTTGCAGCCTCACAGTAGCTCAGGCTTGGTCTACTTTCATATTCTGTGGGCAGTAGTGCACGAGGTGTTATTCTGCTTTTCCCCTGCCTGGTTGATAAGTAGCTCAAAATCACAGGCCTGCCTTCAGTATCAAGTTTAAGCATGCCAGCAAGGAGAATGCATAGATGATTATGTGCTTGCTTAATCTATTTTACGGGTATGGTCTCCTCAAGAGCAACAGGAACAAATCAATTTCTGAATGTTCACATCCCTCTGTGGCCTAGGAGATGCACTTTTGGTCACCAGGCAACAACATTCCCTGCAAAACAGCCATTTTAGGTCCAGGGTGGGACAGCACACAATAAGCTATTTCTGTATGCTTAAGGTATTCCTGTATGCAACATAGTGAGTATTTCACTTCTGCAACTTTTCAGATTGTTTCTGTCACTACTGTAGGTTTTCTTTCATCAAGCCCAAGCTGCACTTTGTGAAAGCAGTGAAATGATATCTAGCCTAGACACGCTGTATAAATAAAACAGGTTAGGCCAACAAATATGCCAAATGGTTGACACTGTCGACTTTCAATAGTTGGTACTCACCAACCATGAGGAGGTATGGAACTAGTGTCTCTAGTAAGATATCCTTTCTAACTGTATACATGATTTTATGGTGTATTTTTAAAATTTATTTTTTGTATAGTTTCTTTAGCTGCAGCTATTTATTGATTGGCAACTTGAAAACAAGTTTCTCCTCACCACTCTTCTTTCTCTGGCTTGATGTTTTGTGTAGACACAAATATGGACCCTAAAAATAAGTTATAAAATAATGGCTTGAGCTGTATCAGTGGACTTTAAGCAGAAATTTCCATTAAAAAAGAATGGCCAAGATGACTGCAGGATAGCTTTTAAATATAGAATTTACACAGCATTAGAAAACTAATAGAATATAACCTCAAAGGCCAAGTTCAGATTACTTTTATGTCATTACTAATTTCAAATGACTCCATTGACTTTGATATCACAGACCTAATGTATGAATTTTCCTGTGCTTTCTTTTATATTTTCCAACTATAAGCAGAGAATGAACTTTCATTCTGAAACCAGATTTTGTTTAGCTTAAATCTTTAGATCCTCCAGGAGGATCTGGTACCTCATAGGTTGCTGCTAGCAGACCAGCAAGGCTTTCTGCAGGTGCAGGGCTGTACTACTGAACCTGATTACAGGATTTAAGGCTCAAAATTATAGACCAGTCAGCTCTAAGGAACAGGCTGTGTTCCAACCCACCTCTTGTTTGGTTGGACATGAATAATGGTAGATAGATACAGTTTATGTTCCTTTTCTTTTTAGATAAATTACTTTGTTTATGAACAATAGAAAAAACAGATCACAACATAAATAGCTTATAGGTCAAAATTTACTGCTTTAAGCTATCTTACATTGAAAATTGTTCATTATTTTAGGGCATTTTGTAGCAATTTGAAAATAAGCATCTGTTTGTGGTTTTTTTTCCATAGGAAAAACAAATTATAAAAGCGTTTGTGAAATGTATATTGGTAGCTCTGTAGCCCACTGAACTGCCAGCACATAATGGCAGTAAGTACCGCAGAAAGGTGACACTGAGGGTGAGCTGTAATTTATCCCAAGGTACGATGCTGCAAGAGTTTTACAGTCCCATTAAATGCACCTTCCAGGCTCAGGAGTGGTATTCAAGCCCTGCCACATCCGTCCTGTTCTAACTGCCCACCACATTTTCCTCAACCCCTGTTCAGGTCTGCAGAGCTCTGTCTCCTCCCTTTACCCACAGCCTCTGCCCTGCGGTTTGCAGACCTCCCGATG